GTAATAGAGAGGTAAGGAGAAGGAGGGAAAGGCAAGAGGAGAAAAGCATGTGGAGGCATTTTATTTATCTATTTGGTTATATTAGAGACTGAAATCTAAAATGGAGGAAGGGAAGAGTCCGGAAAAAATTTTACCAATACCATTTGGATTAAGCATTAGATTCAAGTATGATTCCACTAAGGAGGCATTTTGGGATGTGTGCTCCACCATGACCTAAATCTTAGGAGGGCTTACTCTCTTGTGCATTCAGCCAAAGATACTTGCCAAATCTTATCCAATATGCGTCCAATCAAGGGCAATTGACAAGCATAAGATTGGTTCAAATAACATACAACTCTGTCCATACAATAATGGTTTTAATTTCATGTTCTAATTTAGACAGATACGAAAATATAAAAGAACAGCATAACCTTCCTCTCAGAAACATATATGGCTTTCTAGAAATTGGGGATTTGGGAAGTAGATGTAAATTAGACTTTATATTTATATTGTTGAAATTATTTTAAAAATTAAGTTTAAAAAATTAATTTACAAAAGTGTAAAAATTTATATTATTTATTTTAAAATTAATGATCCAAATAAAAACTTATATTAAAATATATCTAAACAATGATATACCGATTTAGCTAGGGCTGTCAATAGGTCGAATCAGGATAGATCCAAATCCGAATCCGATAACATATATTATATCCGAATCTGACCCGATATCTGATCGAATCTGTTATATATATTACCATATCCGAATCCGAGAAAAATCCGATATCTAAAAAAATAATCCAAATCCGAATAAAAAATTTTTAAAAACTAAAATAAGAAATATTTTTAAAAATATAATAGTTATTATATTTGAAAATTCTCATTATTTTAATGGTTATTTTCATAATATATGATGAAAAAGTGTGAAGTTATTTTAAAATTCTTTTTTTTAATTAACTAAGACTTTTATATAACTAAAAAATTAAATTTTTGAAGTAAATTTAATACAAAAATTATATTAAATATCATGTCATTTATCCACACAAAGTTTAATGACACAAAAAAGAATATCTAACAAATGAAACATGTAATTGTATACTTTGTAGAAATTAATACTAGAAAATCTAAATAATTAAAAGTAATAATAAGTTATTCAATCACAAAAATTTTGGAACAAAATAAAGGAAATAGAAATATTAAGATTAATTATATTATATAAATTATTTATTTCTATTTAAAACATTTTGCTTCACAAAGTTTATTTAATTCTATAAACTAAATTGTAACACACCTTATTTACTTTTTCTAAAATTCATCCATATATATACACAATAATAGTTATGTACGTACAAATTATATATATATATATAATATAGTATCTATATATGACATATTATATATTATATACATAATCAGATTGAAATCTTTAACAGATCGGATCCAGTGAGATCCATATTCGCTCCATTTATTTCAGATTATGGATTTTTTTAATCAAATTATGTCAATCAAATTTTTTATCGATTAAAGATCTCAAATAATCGAATCGAATTCGAATCGGATTTACATTAAAATCTGCTCCATTGACAGCCCTAAATTTAGCAAAAAGAGCATATATAACACACACATGACATATTAGCCTCCCCCCCCTCTCTCTCTCTCTCTCTTTCTCTGTGTCATGACCCGGTAACTGGATCTGTGACCAGTGCGAAGATTAAATTAAACTCTAACCCCGCAAGCCTGACAGAAAATCGGGATCCAAATAATTTCAAGATACCAAAAGTTTACAGAATCAAACATCTCACGACTTCAATTATACAAAATAGAAAGACTTATCTGCAATCAATAAAAGCTCAACTACAAGATTCACAAAGTTCAAATAGAAAACAACAAAAGACACTAACATTAGCCATTAAAACAACAAGGAGGAAACTGCAGACACTTCTCAAACAGCAGAATCCGCAGGAATGTCAAAGTCCGAATCTGGTAAATAATAAAAAGGCGTGAGTCGTGAAACTCAGTGAGAAATAATAATATGCATTTATGAAAATACCGTTATATCAGTAAAAAGACTTTTTAATTAAAGTGTAATTTTGCATAAATTTTAGGGGTCTCATGATCCAGAACGTAACAGAAATCAGGACGACGACCTCAAAGTCTGCCGATGTACAATAATCAAGACGGCGACCTCATAATATGCCTGTAATCAGATATACAAGTCTACCGTGTCGGTCTAACACGATAGTCTAGTATCACCCCTGCTAGCTGGGAGTACAAGTCAAGGTGCACCAAGTCTAATGACTACTATCATTAGTTACAGTGTTCTAACAATCCAAGACTCCTTTAAAAACAATTCAATCAAAAGCAGGAATAGTCTAACAGGATACAGAATTTTCAGTATAAAAACAATAAGAGGAATCTTTTTCCAAAAACAATTTCAAAATGATAGGTATGTCCCTTGTAATTTAAATATACCAATAATTTCAATAACCAAATATATTTAAAAAAATCATATTTAAAACAAAATTTGTTTTAAATGCATAATATACTCACAGAACCGATGACAGTCAACAGTTCGGAATTTTGATGGTTCGGCTAACGATAAGCGTCCGAGATATCTATGATCACAAAGCAATAATATAACCATGTATAAGCCTTAAATACGTTTATACTAAGCAAAAATAACGTAAATCAAGGATTTGTGCCCCGAAACCTTAAATAATACCCTCAAAATCATAATCAGCCCGCGAATTAGCCTTAGAAGGTATAAACCAACTTAACTCAATCCAACTCAACCTAACTCAGCTTAACTCGATACAACTTGGCTCAACTCGGCACAACTTGGCTCAACTCGGCACAACTTGGCTTAATTCGATTTGACTGGGCCTTAACTCGACTTTAGAATGCATGAACCAGCCACAAAATCATTTATATTCACTTCTAAAATTTTTTCCTATTTTTCTATGATCTTCTTTTATTTTCTCTATTTTTTCACATTTTTCTTTCATTTTTTAACTATTATTTGGAATATCAAAATTATTATTTTTTAGGGTTTTTCATAAATAATTTACTAAAAATCATATAAACTTTATTTTCCCATTTTTTCTTGATTTTTCTTGAATTTTGCTACTATTTTTCCTCAATTATTCTAATTTTCTGATTTTCTTTTCTTTTTTTTTTTATATTGGGAACCCGAATCTTGGATTCAAGTTCTAGCCTGACTCCGCCCTGCCCAACCCCGTTGGCAAGGGGCTGCAGGCCTTTTAAGGCTGGGCCTCTGCTGGGTGATTGGATCAGAACAGATCCGAGTCTTCCAGACCCGGACACAGGAGCAAAATCCGAACAGGAAAACAAACACCAATTAAACAGACTTTACTTGGAATTTGATCACGAAACTTGACAACAATGCTCAGATTGAAGATCCGAACGCCCCCGAATGATCAATTTGATGATTAATTGGCTTAAAATTAAGAAATTTGAGCTGAATCAACTCGGAAAAAGGCAAACAGATCATCGATTAAAATCCGACGAATTGAACAACTTAGGAGAAGAATTTCTAGAAATTGGTTGAGGGCTTTTGTCCCTCACAAGATGTCAGTCATGAATATATACTCATTTGGCCAAAACAATCCAAGATGACCACCAATTTTTGCTTTATTTTGCCAGACAAATCTGTCAGGTATTTAATTTGGATCCAAAACTGAAATTGCAATTAAGTCCCTCAACTTTCATATTTCTTTACTAAACCCCAGAACAAATCAACTTCTTTCAATTAAACCCTTTATCTTCCCAATTGAACCTCGAAACTTTATGTTCCTTCAATTAAGTCCTTAGCCTATAAAATTAAATTATTTAATTAAAAAAAAAGTAATAACAATAATAATAATAATAAAGGGATATTACACACACACACTCTCTCTCTCTCTCTCTATATATATATATATATATATATGTTTTTATATTTTTGATTTAATGGGAACAAACCAAAAATGGATTTATTTATTTTTCAAAAATAGAACTGAGATTTATTTCGCTAGGAGTGGAGAATGTACAATAAGGGATTAACTGGAACTTTGTTTTTCTTTACGTTAATAATAATAATTTTGGAATTACTTGGAAATCAAATAATGCAATAAGATTTTATTTTAAAAAAATTATATTGCAACATTTTCTTAAACTTAATCGTTGTTAGGCTAAAAATTTAAGAAATGATCAAATCAATACAATTAAAAAAATTAAGAAAGACATTCACCTTGTAGGACAAATATAAAACTAGTGCCACTTTGGTTTATTTTATTATATTTATATATTCTAATTTGATTGCCATAATCACTCTTACAGTGCCATATAATTTATGAGAGCAGTGTATGACAATATCACTACGGATTAGCTCCTTCCACTTGATAATTACATGAATTCTATAAGTTTTTACAACTAACCTAAAATGTTGCGAGGGTGTGTCAGTATCACTCTAGATCAACACCTTCCACTTGATGGTTACAAAAATTCTAAAATCTCTACAAGTTACTAAGAATGTTGTGGAGTGTATTTAATATCTTTTACATTTTAAAAGCATTTATTCACATTTAAAAGAATATATGGATATTTTATAAAAGAAAATTCCAGATAATTTAGCACAATCAAGCAACTATTCTTTGTTTAAATGGACGGTACAAAGGTAGATATTTGAGGTCTTTTTCTTTATTTCTACCACTCATAAAATAAAAATTAAAAACAATACAAAAAACAGTACAATATATGACAATATAGTGCCGCTTTTAAGAATAGATTTACATATAATTTCAAAGATAATCTCAAGAACTACTATATATAACACGCATTGGAATCAAAGAAAAAAAATCCTCAAAATCAATTGAATGGTACTTTTTTTTTTTTTTTTGAAAAATGAAACTTTCAAGCATTATTTTAATTCTTGTGCAACCAAAATATGATTTTGTTTTCTTTCCCAACATTTAAAACTTAACTTCAAGAAAACATTCAAATGAATAGAATACTCAAGGGCCTCAAGTCAGAGCAAGGTAGAAACAACCAGCACCTTGGCCTTCTAGTATCATCCCTCCTCCTTTGCTTGTATCAATAGCTTCTAGTAGCTCCACCACCTTATTCATTTCTGACCGTTTTTCTAGATTTGCATTCCAACATTTTTTCATGATGTTAGATAGAGAACTCGAACAACATCTGGAATTTTTGGCCTCAAATTCCAAGAATATACACAAATTATGAATGTCAATATGGCAATATACATTACATAATTCTCTATAAATACAGAAAATTAAGCTTACTTGACGAATAACAGCATAAGAAAACTTCAACAAAGCTAAGATTCATGTAGGGAACATGACAAAAATAGATTTCCCATAAACAAATGCCAAAGCTGTAAACATCACACTTTCTATTGTAAGGCTTTCCATCAAGAACCTACAAAAATGAGACTTCTGAACTTTTCTATTCTTATATGACAAACAATAAAGAAACCAAAAAAATAACAAACAAACTAATCTTAACTCGTATTAAAAAATAAAGGAAAAATATCTTATATAACTTGTTACCATTGAAAAGGCAATATTCTGTCATATTTAATTGGCTAATTTTTCCAAATCATTGTTACAAGAAACATTTTCTTTACTAACTTAACAAATATTAGTGTTTTCACCCAATAAAAACTCATTTTAAAAGATAAATGTACCTCTGGTTCCATGTACCCAAGGGTTCCAGTTTTACGGGTCATATCTTGAGGATTTCGAGCTTTTGCATGAGCAACACCAAAATCAGCTATTTTCAAGTTTCTATTAACATGTAGCAACATATTTTCAGCTTTGACATCACAATGTACAATCATTTATGATTGCAGATAGCTCAATCTATGTCAAACTATGCAAAAGAAAATAATCTTTGTCAGAGTGATTTACACTTATGTGGACTACAATAGGACAAAGCTAAAGGTAAATTGACTCTCTAGAGAGGTCCAAAGCAAGCTAGACCACTACTTGGAAGGCAAGTTTCTTCTTCCTATTTGCATAAAGAAACTTCTTTAATGTCCCCCTTGAGAGATATTCCACAACTATGCAACACATTCTCAATGGCAGAATAGTAGTATCAGTTCTATTTTTTAAAGGAATCTTGAGATTGGATGTCCCCATTGAAGTGCCAATAAACTATAATAAAGTAAATACAAAACTTCTAATAAACCTCACAAGATTAAAGTAATCATATCATCAAGTATCATATCCAATTGTTAAACTTCTATATAGGAAATAAAATGGATAAAAAGGAAAACAGAGATGTGAGAAAACTTTATATCATAAAACTAGAATAAATAACATTTAACACAACAGCAGAATCCAGCAAACATCAACATTGTGCAACTGGCTGAAATTATAAGCAGTTAAAAATACAAAGTGAATATAATAAATTATAATTAAAAAATTGATATCAGATGAAATACAAAATAAATAATGATTATCACAATATGACAAATTGCAAGCTATTTAAAGGAATTAAAACATCGCTTGTACTTTGGTGACATTCGGATGGTCAAGCTTTTGCTATACAGCAACTTCTTGCCGAAATGATGCCCGCAAAGCAGCAGTTTCAGCAGTTGTCATCATGCCATCCTCTCCCCCATCCAGCAGTTTCACTATATAGATATCATAAGGAATTGTAAAACACCAAAAAAGGGGGAAAAAATAAATAATGTTGCTAGCTTTCTACACCAATAGATTTTAAAAAAAATCAAAAAAAAAAAAAAAACAATTCCAATGGATGTGCTTGCTGAATCTTATGTGCACATATGGAATAGTAAGATAACTTGGTGCTGTATAAGAATTGTTACAAAAATTAAATTTACCACACTAACAGAATAACCCTAGCAGCTCCTCCCATTGCACTTTTAAGTCGTGCAATGACTGCCAGTTTTTCACTTTTGCTGATCCTGCAGCAGTTCAGCTACCCAGCCACTAAACACCAATTGCTCCATTCATGCCTTACACTAGGTCAGTTTCCATCTCATCGCCCACTGCTCCAGAGCAGAGGGCAAACCATCTCTTGTTGTGAAATGCTAATTTGTATATACCATAATCAATCTGTCATTAAAAATGTTATGCCTAGAGGCCACAAAAAGATTATTCCTCTCTGGAATGTTGTAAGAATGATAGAAGAGGATCCCCAAACCACAATTAAAAAAAAAAAAAAAAAAGATAAACAGAGAGGAATTAAAACAACTATAAAATGCTAGAGAAGCACACAATTGCTTCAAAATTTCCAACATTTACACACATTTGCTTGCCAAGACAAACATAATACCAAACATGACCAACGAAAATTACAAGAAAGTAATAAACCTTAACCACAGAAACCATTGCTCACTATTTTATATTGATTACCATGTTCCAATATGATTTCCTAATTATACAGATCATATACCTTCCTACATTATAAAAATGTCAAAAAGAAAAAATTCTTTAACAGTACTCTGTATTCCCTTAAAAAGTACTGGCCAAAATCCTTAATGGCCACAAACTGGGAACTAACAAATTTAAAGGCTGATTGCATTTATATCCTACACAGAAGCAAGATATAGAACTCACACAGAAATACCCTCTATGTTAAGTTAAGGTGAAGATAATACACAGTGCACAAAGACAAATTAGGCCTTACATCTTATATAGTCCTCCTAATGGCAGGAGTTCAAACTCCGATAGCCGTATATGTCAATGAAAATGCCATTTCAAATGCCCAAAATGTCATCTTTTTATAGAAGGTACCTTTCTAGTTTTCAAGTCAAGCTTTAAAAATTTATTTTTCAAATTAGGAAAAATTACTTTAGCATGAAGTTTGGTCCTCAAATATAGCAGGCAGACCACAAGAGAAGCCTAATGACCTCAAGAGATTATAGAAACCAGCAGTTCAGCCAACTTTGCTGAGGAATGAACATATTGGTAATACTCAAAAATCTTCCTTCATAGACTAAATAATAGAAAATGTGGTTTCTTGAGGTTTCTTAGTAAGAGGTATTCTACCTGAATAGTAACAATGGACAATGAATAAGAGAACAGTAAAATTTGAGCCACAAAATTTCTCAATTCTAGCACACTTAACTAGATCGTATAAGTACATTTGTTCAGATAGAATTATTTGTTGTATCCAGACTAATATCAATCCAAGGCATTTCATGAACAAAAAATTTAGAAAAATAGACAACATGTAAAGTGACCAATTACCCGAAAATATAACCATTGGAACATAATGTTATCTTCTTTCAACTGATGTAAGTAATTCTCTCTCAGAAAGCTCTGTTCTTTCACATTCTTCACACAATCACCTCTATGATCATAAATGCTCATTCTTTTAATTTAAAATTGAATGATTGAACAAAAAGAATTAGTGATGCTAGTCACAGTTGGATATAATTTAAGCTTTCATCTTTGCTGTTTGGTAATAATATCAAAATGAACCTAGGCACCTACTTTGCAACTTTACCTGTTCTAAATTTGTCCACATCACATGTTTCAGAAAGGGAAGACTGCTAAAACAAAAGACCACCACAAGCCACTAATTACATATTAGGTTGTAACAACTTTTATGACAAATTATGTCCAAATTCTAACTTAGTCATAAGATTCAATAAAAATTGCCAAAAAAAAAACAATTAAAACTATGAATATTAAAGACATACAATTTCATCCAGAGTAATTATACCAATTAATAAAAAAAAATCATACATTTGTATTGCATGACCATTCGTATTGACCTGTATTAAAATTTTTGGGGTCCTAATTTGTAATAATAGTTGTTATGCTCCTAATATAATTAATATCTGGCCATATCTCTTCTTTGCAGTTTCCCTTTTAAAAATGAGCATACAGACATCACAGTAAGATTGGAGAGGGTGATTGTTATGGATGGTATGGATCACAAAATAAAGAAGTAAATGGCGCCAAAAATGGGAAGGAAAACTAATAATTACTTAATTCCTAATTAAGTAAGTCAATGGCGCCAAAAATGGGAATGAAGACAAATAATAATTTTATTCCTAATTAGAGAAGTTTATTTTAGCAAGTATTTTCATTGCAATTTAAGTTCTTAATTTTATTCCTTAATTTAATTTTCTTCTTTTTGCAAGAATAATTTTCTTTGTAATCTCCATTTAAGAGAATAATGAGAAGAGAATAAAACAAGCAGAATTTTCATTCAAATTTATAGATGTTCAAAACTCTCTCTAACGAGTCTAAGATTAAGAGCTCCCTTCAACGAGTTCTATATATATATATATATATATTGGTTTTTCACGAGGCAAGAATTGTAACAAGAGAAAGACTACATCCATCGAAACAGATTTTTCTGTGCATCGCCCTGTGACTCGATCCGTAACTCGGGAACGTAACAACTTGGTATCAGAGCCAAGCACTATGGGCAATTCCAATGTAGCAAAAGAATTTAGATCTCTTTTACAAGAAGTTTAGGCAATTAACGAAGCAAGAGTGGCAAAAGTTGATTCATGAATGGAAGCAAGAATTTCACAAATCGAGTCTAAATTGAGAGCTCAACTGCAACAACTATCACTGCAAATGCAAGAACTTGCTAATGGTCTTCACTAAAACAGCGGCAAGGAGTCAAATGGGAGTACAGGTAATAATAACAATTATGGAAACCACTATTACAAAACTGACAATCAATCAGAACTACACGAAGAGTCTGGAGTGGCTCCACAGTACACGAAGACTAATTTTCAACTGTAAGCAACGTTTGGAGTAATGTCAAGGTACACAAAAATTGATTTTCCGACTTATGATGGGTCAAAGGATCCACTAATATGGTTACACCGATGCGAGAAATTCTTTTTCCATCATCGAACTGATGAAACAGACAAGGTTAGTCTGGCTGCTTTTCACATGTTAGGTGAGACACAATTATGGTGTTATCAGATGGAGTAGGAGGAACCAAATCTCACTTGGAAGGCATTCAAGGAATATTGCACTTTGAGATTTGGCCCACCACTACGCGGAAATGCATTAGGTGAATTGGTTAATTTGTACCAAACTGGAACAGTTGAGGATTATCAACGCCAATTTCAAGGGTTGTTGGCACGTCCTTCTCTTTCTCCTCCTCCTTCCTGCGTCGCTCTCGAACCAAGCTTAACCTTTGATTTCTTTCCCCATCCTCCTCCTCGCCTTTCTCCTCCTTCTTCTTGCTACTTAGATGCCTTCCGAAGACTCTTCATACGGCCAATCCAAGCTTCTCCTACCCAGCCAAAGCCCTCCATATCGGCTAAAGGAAGCTTCTCCTACCCACGCAAAGGTATCTATGCTGCATGATTCAAGCTTCGTTCAGCTTCTTCTTCATCTTCCTTCATCTTCTTACTGCTTAGATGCAGTTTTGCTTGTGCTCTTCCACTTCAAGCATGTTGCTTCGTAATTTGTTTACACAATTTGGTAACTGTACATGATTGCTAGACAGTTGATTGATTGTAAATTAACGGATGTCGAGTTGGTTTTATAAATGCAAGATGATTGTAATAAGACACATTGGAGAATATAAAAAATTAGATAGATGATTATAAAGAATCAGATGGTTGTCTTGTGTAGCTACAGATTAGATATTGTAAATATACATATGTGCAATTGTAAAATGACAAATGTATGCATGAATTTAAGAAAACGGATGGGGGACTGTAAGATAATGGATCCACATTTGGAAAATGAGAGATAGGCTACCGTCAAATAACAAATGCAAGAAATGACAGATAGGCGACTGTAAACAACATATGCATGACTGTAACAGAATAGAATAATGGAATATAATAAAAAACACATACATGATTTTAACAAGACAGATGCCTGATTGTGCAATTACGATTTGAAAATTGTGAAATGACATATGTATGAATGTAAAATGGAAGAATTGTATTTCAAATAATAGATGCATGATTGTAACAAAAGAGAAGCAGATACATGATTGTAAATGTACGATACTTGAGTGTAAAATTACAGATGATGATTGCAAAAAGGAAACTCGTTGCACGCAAGTTAACAAAAATGTAATTGTAATATACCTGCATGAATGTTTCAATTAACAATTGCATGTTTGATTGACAAGTGGAAACAGACATCCGAATGTAATAATACAGATGGACAGCTGTAAAATAACAAATGGCCAAGTAAAAAATCAGTCCATGAATTTGAAGAGACTGATGCCTGTATGCATTTACAGAATAATATTAAAAAGTGACACATGCACGAATGTAAACTGGCATATCGTTGACATGAATAGCAGTTCCGTGTTCGATACAAAAATAGAATCAGATACTGTAAAAGTACAGATGGGAGACTGCAAAACAACAGATGAAAGCTTGGAACATGATAGATGGATGATTATAACATAACAGATAGGTGAGTATAAAAACAGGCCCTGAATGTGAAGAAACAAATGCCTAAGTGCATATAAAGACTAGTGAATAAAAATTGACATATGCTTGAATACAAAATGGAAATAGATATCAGATTGAAAGTATACAAAAATTAGATTGTAAGAAACCTGATGAAGACATGGAATTGGACAGATTCATAACTGTAACATTACAAATGGCTGTGCTTTCGTTTACAAATAGTTTCAGAAATTCACACATGCGTAAATGTAATGTGGCATATTGATGACTCAAATAACAGTGGCATGATTAATGCAAAAATGGAATGTGACAATTGCATGATTAAATGTAATGTGGCATAATTAATACAGATGACCGATTATAAAGGAACAAAAGGATGAGTGGAACTTGACAAATTCTGGTCTATTAAATAGCAGATGGATGACTGTAACGCAATAGATGGACATGTATAAAAAGTCCTTGACTCTGAATAGACAAATGCCTGAATTGCATTTACATAGTAGAGATAATAATATGACAAATGCCTGCAAAAATGGAAAGAGATATCCGATAGCAATCATACAGATATACGATTGTAAAACAACAGAAGAACGCTTGGAACATGGCAAGTTTGCGGCTGTCAAATAATAGATGGATGACTGTAACATAAAAGTCGGGAAAGTACAAAACATTCCATGTATGAATGTAAAGTGGTGAGAGATGACTATTATCTACGCAAAATAGGAAAGAGATGTCTGAATGTAATAATACATATGGTAGAATGTATAAGTACAAATCAATGCTTGGAATTTAATAGATTTTAGACTGTCAAAATTAAGAGTTGCATGTTCCATGCCAAAGTGCAAACAGATATCGACCTGTAAAAATACAAATAGCGATTATAAAACAACTAATGGACGATGTAAAATTGACTGATTCGCGACTGTTAATTTATGGAATATTGATTAAAACATGACATATGGATGAATGCGACCTGGAATGATTGGTGCAAAAGTGGAAAAAGACAACCGAATGTATTTAAACAGATGGTGTCTATAAAGCCACAGATAAAGTTTGGAACTTTACAGATTCGCGGCTGTCAAATGACAGATGAACATCTGTCAAATACTTCCTTGACTTGAACACACAAATTAGACGATATAGTCTTGTAATAATACTGATGGGGATTGTAAAACAACTGATTGATATTTGAAACGTGACGGATTTGAGTTTGTTATATAACAGATGGGAGTCTGTAATTTAATAGATGTCTAATATAAATACATTCCACATATTTGAAGTAGGAGATGCCTTTCTTTGAAATTAAAGAATAGCTGGAACTTCGTTGAAACAAATAACAATTGAATGATTCATGCAAAAGTGAAAGTTGCAACGAATGAAATAGTACAGATAAAGTTTGTAAAGCAACAAATGCCTTTTGGAACTATACAGCTTTGCACTTGTTAAATGACAGATGCACTTCTGTAACGTCACCAGTCCTTTATTAGAAAGAAAGATTCCTGATTGTGAGAACAAGGATTAGTGACAAAAAATGACATATTCATGAATAGATAACGGCCTATAATAATATTG